GAGGTCTACGATAACCTGAGGCTGAAGCTGGAGGCGTGGAGGAGAGCGCTGGACCTGGTGCTGCTGGTGCTGCTGACCGACGCCGAGGTCATCACAGGAACCCAGAAACAGCAGGGGAACCTAATGCTGCTCTGAGAAATACAGGGAAAACTCAGGGGAAACTCAGGGAAAACTCAGGGAAAATTCAAGGAAAACTCACTTCATTTTTTCTCTTGATGCTCGTTTTTATTTAAGCAGACATTGTGTTTTGAAATATGATTTTCACAGGAACCCAGAAACAGCAGGAGAACCTGCTGCTGCTCTGAGAAATACCGGGAAAACTCAGGAAAAATGCACTTCTTTTTTCTCTTGATGCTTGTTTTTATTTAAGCAGACATTGTGTTTTGAAATATGGTTTTCTTTGTAGGTTACAATCTGAAATAAAGATTATGTCTTTCTTAATGCTTCTTTCCAAAACTCACCTTATTTGAATCTTTTCTTACTTCTTTTTTGCCACACGAGGGAGTCCTGAGTTTTCTATTTAAGCTTGTTTTTATTAACCCTATAATGCCAAATGTATCATATCTGATTCATATTTTGTTAAAAGGCCAAATAAAGGCTTGAAACCAAAAACAAGTAAATTTCTGTTTTGTTTTATTCTTGGATCGGGCTTTAAAGGGTTAAGCAGACATTGTGTTTTGAAATATGATTTTCTTTGTAGGTTACAATCTGAAATAAAGATGATGTCTTTCTTAATGCTTCTCCCAAAAACTCACCTCATTTGAATCTTTTCTTACTTATTTTCTGCCACACGAGGGAGATCTGCGTAAAACCTGCATCCAGGCTCAGCTTTAAATTAACTTTTTTTTCTAGTTATGCTTGTTTTTATTAACCCTGTAATGCCAAATGTGTCATATTTGATACGGTTTCTGAAATGTTTTGCGTCTGACACCTTTTTCATAATTTAATGGTAAAAACTTTGCTTAAAATCCTATTGTACACAATCAGATACACCTGATAACAGGGGGCAGAAGACTACACAAAAAATAATCTGGATTTATCGCATAGTGATAAATTACCAATATTGAAAATGTATTTCTGTTTTTTCTTTTTACATATTTTGTTAAAAGGCCAAATAAGGAATTCAAACCAAAACAAGTAAATTTCTGTTTTGTTTTATTCTTGGATCGGGCTTTAAACGGTTAACCAGACATTGTGTTTTGAAATATGATTTTCTTTGTAGGTTAAAATCTGAAATAAAGATGATGTCTTTCTTAATGCTTCTCCCCAAATCTCAACTTATTTGAATCTTATCTTTATTCTTTTTTGCCACATGAGGGAGACACAAGCATTCAAGAAAATCCAGGAAAGTCTCCCTCATCTGTAAGTGAGAGTGAAGTGGCTTTTTCTCCTCTCCAGACCTGGGATAAAACCTTTTATGCATCTTTTGAAGCACAATAGGAGCTTTGTTTTGTTCTTTTTCCTCTTAATAAAGTCTCTGTGTCCTAAAGGGAGTAGTCGACTGTGTTTTGTTTTGTGTGAATTAGCTCCTGGACTCGTCAGGGTTTAGTAATCTGAAATGGACAAATTGAATATATCCGAGCGTCTGTGTTTAAAGCTTTGCTCCAAATAAAGGACTACAGAGCAGTCGCTTTAAAAAATAAAAGCGCACAGCTCTTGGAAAATCAACCTGAGAGTGAAACACCTTTTTCCTTTATACTCGAGTTGTGTGTCAAAGTGGAGAGTCACTTATGTTTCCTCTGAAATTTCATAAGAATCTGGAGAAACCTTAATGAGCTTGAGTCATAAAGGTTAGAGACATTTCATCATCAGCGACTTCCTAAAATGAGGAACTTCTTTCCTTGCTTTCCTTGTCCTTTATCTAACCAGGAAAAGTCCCGTCGAAATTAACAATCTCTTTTTCAAGGCAGTCCTGGCCAAGACAGAAAAGATTACATTACAAATTACATTACAGTTTACAATTATACATCTATCTATAATTTGAAATTCATAAAACTGTTACAAACCATAGATCTCATTTCCAAACCTTTGAGCAATCGTTTAAAATGTCAGATTGGAATCAAATCCTTCAATTTCCAGTACTTAAAAGCTGTCTTCTAAATGGATAATCTGCTATCTGGGGATGGTCCATCATAATTTAGGTTTTAATTAAAAAGCAAAGCAGGCTTAAAAGCTACGCAATGTAGGAATTCCTCCATCTAACAAATCTGATCTCTAGAGTTTCCAAATATTGTAGCTATGCTAGCCGTCACACATCAAGAAGTAAAGACAGCATGACTTCCACATCCTGGAGTTTGTAATCAAAAGAAACTACGTTGAAACTGTATTTAATCATTAGTGTACTATAACTTATTATTATTCCTATAACTTATCAGAGCTGGTTTCAGTCTCGTGACTGAACAAAAACACTTTGTGGATCAGCTAGACTAGTGCTTTATGTCCCTGTCTGCCTTTATGGTTTTTCAAAATGGCGGATCGCCATGGAAACCTCCGTGGACTTACCTGTCCTGTGTATAACAGACAGGAAATCCTTCTTTATGAGGAGAAGTCAGACCACTGTAGATGCCATTTTACACCAAATGAGGAAGCATTTAGAAATGAAAACAATGATTTTAGATAATAAAATACTAAAAATACTACACAATGTCCCTTTAAAATGGAAAATTTTGACAGAGTGCCTGTTTGGTCCTGCAGGAGCATCATTAGTTTGTTCACTTATGATGTTTATTCTATCTTATCTAAGATATTTGCCAGATTTATACGTGAAAATAACCAGTTCTCTTTGGCCTTTCTGTTTCCTTAATGTCTGTTTTCTGATGAGAAATGTAATACTGTGTCTACTCTGTAAGTCGCTTTGGATAAAAGCATCTGACAAATGCATAAACATAAACATAAAATACTACACAATGTCCCTTTAAAATGGGAATTTTGACAGAGTGCCTGTTTGGTCCTGCAGGAGCATCATTAGTTTGTTCACATATGATGTTTATTCTATCTTATCTAAGATATCTGCAAGATTTATACCTGAAAATGAGCAGTTCTCTTTGGCCTTTCTGTTTCCTTAATGTCTGTTTTCTGATGATAAATGTAATATTGTGTCTACTCTGGAAGTCGCTTTGGATAAAATGCATAAACATAAACATAAAATACTACACAATGTTCCTTTAAAATGAGAATTTTGCCTGTTTGGTCCTGCAGGAGCATCAAAAGTCCTCAACCAGTTTTTTCACTTTTGATGGTAAAAAAATGGGAATTTTGACAGAGTGGCTGTTTGGTCCTGCATCAATAGTTCTCCTC